AGAATAAAAGGAAGTTAAAAATAAGGGAGCCACCTCACTAATTCCCCCATCCCCTGGAGTCCTCAGGCCTGCTGGCATAACCAAGTCTTAATTTACCTCGGGAAGCTCAACAATGATGAGGCCAGTCTCACCTCAGGGGGGAGAAGATTCCACAGCGCAGGCACCACAGCAGAAAAGGCCCGCCTGGGCCTGCCAGATGTATTTCCCTAGGTGACAGAACCCATAACATGCCCTCTCTGCTGCATCTGGTAGGAGGGGCAGATGAAATCGGGAAGAGGAGGTCCCTCATGCCATGCCATGAAGACCTTTAAAGGTCAACACCAGCACCTTGAATTTTCCTCAATATATCAATGAACAAGTATAATGTTTTTGATTCATTTGTTTAATTTGGTTCTCTTTATCTAGTTTTAGGACTTGTGTGAAGAGCAGATCACATTTTAGGTCATATTTATGCAGAAATATTGAACATTCAAAAGGGCTCACAAACTTTTATGATGTCATCGATATGTGTGGACTTCACTGCCCAGAATTTTCCAGGCAATGTGGTCATTGCTGAAAATTCTGGGACTTGAATTCCATATAGCTAGACAGTAACCAGGCTGGTGTAGGCTGATCTGAAACTGAATGGTGAAAAAGAGGGCTTTTCACAACTAGGGTATCACAGTTATGAGGTGCCCTCTAGGACACATTCTGGAACCAAGAAAAGGTATTTTGATTTGTCCAGATTTTAGCTCATATCAATTGTATGAAAATTCTATCTGTACTGCTGAAGGAGTATGCGGAATTCTTACATATTTTATATTTATGTTTTATTACTGCAACTGTGCACTATGTTCTTTGTGATTTAAAAATCAAACAAATATTCTTTTCAGTCAATGCTGTCTATTTTCCCAGCTGTTTGCATGTTTTTTTCCTTCAACCATAAGAAGGAAAAATTACAAATGTGCCATTGAAGATTAACAGATTGTCACCTAAAATAAGAAGTTGGAAATAATGCAGATATTTTAAGAAGCTTTTATATTTGCACTATGGAGTAACTCAGCATACCTGGGAAATGTTTCTCCTAGTGGATCCTTGCCAGTTAAAACAATAATACAGGGTAGACCTTCTAAATCTTGGTAAGTATGAGGAAACCAATCATCTTCTTCATTTCCTCTCCAAGCCTGTGAGAAAGAATAACAAGAAAGCTTTCAATCTCCTTGTCAGGGTTATTTCAGAAACCCTCTTTGTACCAAAAGTAGTCCAAGCAGAGGGTAGCAACGAAAAAGTAGGCCATCAATTAAAAAAAGAGGTCTGTAAAAAGCAGGAAATATATACAAACTGAAACTCTTGCGTTTGATAAACTAGAAACATAAACTAAAAAAAAAGTTTATAAACAAACTCTTCTAGAACTCTAACAGCAAAAAACAGTGAGAAGCAAACTATGTTTGCAGTTTCAAACAGTGGATCCTTACTTCCTTATACAAAGCAAAATAGGTGATTGCATTTTCCAAATATCACATTGTTTTTTCTTAAATGGCATTTCCCATGTCTTTTTCTCTGCTCATTATGTTGTTGATGTATCTGCTGTTTTGAAGGTCACTAGACGCAAACAAGACATGACTGAGAACCTTCAGAAACTCCATGGCAGAGAAATTTATGACAGAGGATCTCTATGCTTTCTTCTTTGCTCTCTGTGGTACAGGTAGCTCTGGAGCTGGCAAATAAAAATGGGTACATTCCCACTAGACAAGCCTTGTGAATTAGGATGATGTGCTATCTGTCTCTAAATCTTCTTGCCATGTTAGGTAAGAATTTCATCTGAAGTAAAAACAAACCTACAAACCACCTAATTTGGATCACTTAAGGAAAAGAAGAGTGTATAATTAAAGTCCACACAAAAACATCCAATGGCAAGCCATTAAAAAGTAAATGGGCCCTCACCATGCTTAAAATAAAATATTGCCAACTTTATAGTGCATTTAACTTATCCAACAGATTTGTCCATTACACAGAGAGTAAGAAAGACCTTTCCAGTGGCAGTTTCTTTTCAGCTGTTTGCTCCTCTCCAACTGACATTTTTCTGTCTTTCGCCCCCTCACCCATATGCTGGGCATTATGAGTCATTTCTTGTGAGGAAAAAATAACTTGGAAATTGAACACCTAACAGTGGATCAATGAGTCAATACAGTGTCTTGCTTTTTCAGAAGATTCCACTGTGAAAAGATCTATGATTAATTCTTTTCTCAGGAGTAAGAGCAGAAGCCATGTTTTCTAAAAGAAACCTATTCCCTCTTGCCATTCCATGCAGGATAAATTTGGAAACAGCGCACACTGCCGCCACATTACCATCTCACACTGTTCCCTATTTAGTTGAAGATTATAGGTTTCTACTATCCAGCTCCAGAGGCCTGCTCAGGTGCAAAGAATAAAATATAATCAACCTGAAGAGTACATAAGTAGTACTAGATTTGTTCAAGGGCAGGTTTGTATAATACTTGAAAATGACATGGGAAGAAAGAAAATGAAGAGCAACTTTGGGCTAGCAAATCATGGAAATCTCTAATGTAATTCATTTATTTTCAGGGTATCCATATTTGTTTGTTTATCAGATGTATACCCTGCCTTTTCTCCAGGAGCTCGACAGCACATACAGAGCTCCCTTTTCCAATTTTTCCCCAACAATCCTGTGAGGTAGTTGGGCTGAGAAACAGTAACTAGACCAAAGTCATCCAGTGAGCTTCCATGGTTATTAGTGGACTTCAGCCTGGGTCTTTTCACTCCTAGTCCAACACCTTAACTACTATACCTGACAAGTCTACATTAGTTATAAATTAATATTCCTCTAGGGGATCCATCCTAGTAAATTCTGTTTGTGTTAACAATAAGGGAGTGCATGATTTTATTTCTCACTGAATTTTTAAAGGAAGGAATGATGAAAAGAAAGACATTTTGCTATATATTCTAAATAAAAAGTCTGCAATATGTGTGATGCTCTATTATCAGACTCTACTAATAGCACTTGAACAAATACAAGCTGGTCAGAATATAATGGCCAATTTGGATAACTTGCTTCTTTGAGCCTCATGTCTCTGAGTTAATACTCATAATTTGTGGCCACAATTCTGCAAGATAGGGTCCTTCGTTCTATCAAAATATAAAAAACTCTATTCAATAAAGAGAGAATGCCTCTATCACATCCCCTGCTATATCCTGTTTCTATCCAATATAACTGGCTTCTCCATAAGAAATTTAACAGAGAAGTCAAACAATGGGCAGCTATATGTTTCCATGCAAACCTACCAGATTGAGCTATTAGTCACACATAAACAAGCAGCCTTTGAAGCTAACCTTTAATCTCTTCACAAAGTGCTTGGCAACCATAAGCTCTGAAGCCGGGTTCCCCAAAATGATTTCAAAACGATACTGCAGACCTAGTTTATCTCGTGCTTCTTGCAGCCTCTCTTTTGCCAGCATTGCCAGCTGCACAGAAGGAATTCGGATCACTAACATGTGGCCGCGGCCATTCTTATCCTTGCCAGGAGCAGTGATGATGTCATCCATCATGCTGAGTGTTTCTGGTGTGCTGTGATCTCTTAGTGAAGCCATGGTAGTGAGAGCCATCAAGGCTTCCAAATACTGCTGAATGAGGAGATAGCAGCGAATCACCATGCTGTGCAACCTGGGATACCTTTAAAGGACAGAGGTCTTTTTTAGTCAGTCTGGTATAAACATATCTGGCATGAAAGATTATACTTCTGTTCCGGATAGCTGGAGCCTCCTACTGTGCTCAGTTGTACGCACATAAGCATTGTGCTTATATATATTTCAGTTTGAAAGGTCACAGACATACAGATGGACTCTAGTAGCCACAATCTAAGCAAGTATAACAAAATCCCACTGAAGTATGGATTATTTCTTGATATAACCTCTGCTCAACATGGTCATGCTGGCTGAAAATTCTGGGATTTGTATCCCAACACATCTGGTACTATGGGGTTGGAAAAGGTGCCTTAATATTTTCATAATTGCAATCAAAAGCCTGGCTTATACAAAGTTCCACATAAGAACTGGAAGATCCCAAAGGCAGAATTTCAGCAACCTTTTTCTCACCTATTGATTTAAATTAGGAAGTAATAACTTTATTTTACAGAGAAGCTATTTATACAATAGCCATGGCACACACAGTACTAAGTCATCACTACTTTTATTTATTTATATTTCAAATTTGGCCATTGCCCATCTTTTAACCATGGTTCGCTAAACAAAACATAAGTTTACATATAATGTGAACCAACAAAATTGCCATTTATAAACCAGAGAGGAAGTGTTCACCCACTATGTTCAGTCAAAACCAAATAATTCACATTATGATTTAACATGTGTGAACTTGGCAATGCTAACAGGAAGGGAAGCTGTCATAACCTCTTTGTATATGAGCAGCAGTCCCCTTAATGAGTGGTTGCTTGAAAACAGTCCAATAGTGTAATCTAAACTAGCACTTTGTTTTAGCATAATTTACCAATTTACCATAAAGTGTCTTCTGGCATCTTAGAGACAAATTAATTCATTAGCACAAAAGCCCGAACAGAGCACTGCCCCCTTAATCATATGCATGCATGCATATGATAAAGTAGTGATCCAGAAAACCTTAACCAATAATAAATTTGTTAGTCTTTAAAGTGTTACAAGACACACTGTTTTGCTTCAACAGCTTATTGTTCTCTCAAAACTGTCACAGTAGCTAGTTAAGTTGAAACCATTGGAAGATCATGCCAGAGAAGCAGTTTTCAAGACTACTAATTAGTTCTTAAATTAATTAAGTTTATTGGATTACAATTTGGTGGGATTTTATTATTAGTCATTTGAGAACATTTTTAGGGTTAAATATATAGAAATTAATTCATTTATAAGTAAATATAATAATGCCAGACTAGGTACTAGGTCCATACTAGCCAATGCTGCCTGATCTTAGAAAGCTAAAGAGAGCTGGATCTGATCAGTATTTGGCTGGGAGACCCCCAGGAAATACTAGGGTTGTGAGATAGACTGGGAAGTTGAAAAAAAAAATTACTTGAGCAATCATATCTTACTCCCTTTTGGAATATATGCCCAAAGCATTACTCTTTTAAGGCTATCATTGCTTAAAGGCTAGGGTCACTCAGAACGTAATTTAAAGATAACACTTATCCATGTTCCTCAGATTTATACTGGGAATATTTCAGTGTTAACAATATTGTAAGAGTTTATCTAGATAGGATTAACATTCTTACTGTTTCCCTATATATATATACGTATTGCATATACTAAATAAAAGAGGCTTTCTGGGTGTCCAAACATACAGTCCTGGCTAAGTACTATCCCCAAAGCATTTACCTCTCTAAGAGCGTATTCACCATTTTTTCAAAGATTTCATCACACCTCAGAAGAGGGCTTGTGATTCCCCACTGCAGAGATTTGCTGTATTCATTCAAGCCAAAGTACAGCTTCTCATCTTGGCTTATTTCCTCCTGTTTGATATATTGCAAGCAAAGTGATTCTCACAATCAGGTTACACTTATCCTGTATTTAAAACATAGGCCCGTTGTCCCTTTTCCCCTTAACAGTGAACATAATTATGTTTGTACACTTTATCAATGCTTTCCTCCATTGTGAACAATGTATCTGTTGAACACAGCCACAGCCTTGTTGAGCTCAGACTGTTTAGCTGAACTATCCTTCCCAGAAGAGCCATTGCAATTCCAAATAAAAGACTCTAAGATATACAACAACATAAAAATTAACACATCCCTCAATCTTTCATCCTTATTACTCCATTAACTTCAGAATAGAATTCTGAACAGAAATCAGAACAGAATTAAAATTCAATCAAAATAGAACCAATGGATCATCAAACAAATCAACCCAGAGTTCTCACTAGAGGTACAAATGACCAGGCTGTAATTATCCTACTTTGGACACATTATGTGAAGACATGGCTCTCTGGAAAAGGTTCTAATGCTAGGAAAGGTAAAAGGAGAGAAGAGGGCAGCCAGCAGCAAAGTGGATGGACTCAGTTAAAGTGATGATGAGTGCACTGTTGGAAGATCTGAAATACCAGGTATAGATCATCATAGAGAAAATCTGTCTATGTGGTTGCTAGAAGTCGAAAAGGACTTGATGGCACATAATCAAGCAATCAATCAATCAATCAATCAAAAAACAGAAGGCCAGTCCAATAACACCACAAGCACTAGATTTATTAATTCCTGGAGCTGAAGGCGGCATAGATAGTACATAATTTCCAGCACAACTCTGTGAGAAAGGTTGGGACTGACCCATAAAAACCTAATAAGCTTCCATGACTGAGGGTGGAACTGAACCTACACCCCTCTGTTCCTAGTATAACATTTTACCAACTACACCACAGTAGCTTTCAATTTCCTGTCAGTCAGTCAGTGTCCTGGGGAAAAATACATTACAGTATTGCAAACAGGTCTGGATGTTCCAGTTAAGGTAGCCTGCTAACAGGGATCAAGCGTTCAGACTCATCACACATGCTCTGAAACCACTTTACTGGCTTCTAAGCCCAACCATAAGTACTATGATCTTCATTTCTTAGAATCCAGGTAAATGCTAGATCATCTTCTCCCACATCATCTTGCCCACATGGTGAGATCTATGCTTGAAGTTTTTCCCCCCCCAGATATTCCTACGTTCAGAATTAAGGAAAATGGGAAGAGAGGATTTTGAAGTGAGGATCCCTCTGTGGACAAAGACTTAAAAAAAATGTTCCTAGACTTTTCTACATTGCAAGTAGGAAATTGAAAGCTACTGTGGTATAGTGGTTAAAATGTTATACTAGGGACAGAGAGGTGTAAGTTCAGTTCCACCCTCAGACATGGAAGCTCATTAGATTATCATGGGTCAGTCCCAACCCACCTCACAGAGTTGTGCTAGAAATTATGGAGGGAGCTCCAGGAATTAATAAATCTAGTGCTTGTGGTGGTATTGGACTGGCCTTCTGTTTTTTATTGATTATGTGCCATCAAGTCCTTTTTGACTTCTAGCAAACATACAGACAGATTTTGAAGTGGGTCATTCTTTTAAGACACTACTAATTGAAAAATTTTAGCCAACTGTTTTATTCTATTTCTTTCTTTGTGCAATTCACTCCAGAAATCCACTTCATAACTGAAAGGCAAAATTTAAATTCCTGAAAATAAAGCTGGAACTATTACTAAATAATTTCTAGGATATCAAAGGTAAATGAAGCGACTGGTATTCTGGCGAGTTACTAAGATGAGTACTGTACAAGATGAATATCTTATGAAACCACTCCCTTCTTGAATGCAACCAGAGTTTGATAATGAACTGTGTAAATCAGCTAAGAAAGTAATCCCTCTCCCTATGCTATCAGTGAATTTGAAGCCATGCTATTCAGAATACATAACATTGCCTGAGAACTTTATTTTATTTGTAACCTTTAGACTCTTACCATATTGCCAAACTGTATCCAGTGCACCTCATTTGCTGAGTTGATTCGGGATTGGAGAGTCTGAAGGGCATATGGGAAACAACTCACTTGGAGGACAAGGAGGTTGAAAGCTTCAAGGACCTCTCTGCAGTTTATCACTCTATCAGCAAGTCCGTGACTAGGCTCTCCGTGAGACAGCGAGCTTGAGATAGCACTGGGAAGAAAGTCAAAACATGCATGTCCAGGATACCAAAACAAAAAAGATTAAAACAGAGACCACAGGATTCACTCGGTTCAAAAAGAAGCATGAGAGCAAATCCAGAAATAATGAATTCATATCTTTTCCCACCCTTTAATATAAACCAACAGAAGTAACTTCTGTAAAACCTATTCCTGCTTAAATATTGGTACCACTGAATGCTATCCTCATTTCACAAAAAATATTTCTACACATTAAGAACAGAAAAACTACAACAGCTGCGCCAATTTTAGAAAGACATCACTCCTCATTCAGGTAACAAAACAAAATGAAATAATTACAGATGTAGCTACCTACTTCTCAATCCAGAAAAACCAAGGTGTCTTTAACACAGGTTTGATATAGTTCAGTGACCAAAGGCATTTCTTGCTACATAACTTATGACAAGCAACCTGAGCACAACCTCACCATTGGCTTATAATCTGAATTCTACAGCTTAGTTTTAAACCTTATGTTGCTTCAATGTGTTACCTTGTTAAGTCCACATGGGCATTGTCATGTACGAGCACAAAAAGAGTATATGGATTCTGTTTCACTCGCCTCATGAAACCATCAAATTTTGTTTGAACCTCATTGTCAAGCCGCACCACATACTTTTCAGCTCTTTGGTAAGCTGCTCCACTTTCTTCAAGCCCTAAGTCTACAAGAACACCTAGAAGAAGAAATGAGGGCTTTATCCAAGATTAAAAAAAAGATCTTTAATTAGTTATTAAAGTGTCAAAATCAGCACGCAAAAGGCATTATTACAAATTCATGCTAGATGCATGTTTATGCATATAAAATTCATGCTAGATCTGTATGTAGGATCATATATAACTGTGCATCTATTATTACAGCAGCAAAAAAGATTGTAAATGGCATATTTACTCACACTAATCATCTAGAACAGAGTAAGAAAAATCTACTTGAACAAATAATAGATGAGAATTAGCGTTTACTTTTCTTTCAAGTAGCTTCTTATCCCTATGAGGCCTTTCAACAGTTTCAGAGACTATTTTCTCATTTATGAAATCTTCTGTGTTAAACAGCCCTGTAGGTATTTGCATTACACACGACCGCTTTGCAAAACTTTAGAAAATTCCTTCACAGTGCAATGTAAACAAAGCGTCTCTCTCTGAACAACTAAAACAACTGTGCTTTTTGCAGTGCTCGTGCAACTGCTTCAGAAGGTGCGCAGTTTTCTTCACATACATTATTCAAAAAGAGATGCTTTATCCATACTCCCACATATTGCAAAGCACTTCATACAAATGCTTTCCATAATCCTACTATAATGCCCATATACACTAATATAATTCCAGATCTTTTTATTGTGCAGCGGGGTTGTCAATACTGATATTGCTCCTCTATCTCCCCTTGACAAGGAAAAATAGAATTCTGAAAAATAAGTGTATACTAGCTTTAATCAGCATCTTTTCTCTTGGCTATTTACCTGATTGTCGAATCCGCTGGATGGTTTGTTGGACAAGGACCTCTGAACGAGGAACTACAACAATGAAATCTACTTTGCTGAAGTGGCCCAGATCCAGGCTTTGGCTGCCACTATCTGCTATGGCACACACCTGTGACAAGAGCTTTCTGGCAACTGTGAGTTGTGGTTGATAAATCTGGAAAGTTTCAGTATCCAACTCTAGGATAAAGTAGAATCATCATTTATTTTCTGGTCCATAAGTTGGCACTGAGACCCAGGGCTATATGTGGCCCCAACAACCAAAGCCTCTTGGATTCTATAAATCACTATTTTAAAACAAAAAATACATAAAATTATAATATACATCTTAAAGTAAGCTTCTCATAATTAACCCGTAAAACACCTAGGAAAAAAAAATCTGATTCCACCCATATGCATCCATTTTGCACCATCATGCTGCCTACCATGGCCTTCTCCGTTACAAACAATGTTAGGTGTGGCTCCTGAACACCAAAAGCTGGTCTGTCTCCCTTGTAACTTAGAGCAATCTTACCTAACTTGGCACCCTCCTGATGTGAGCTGGAATTGTAACTTCCAGAATTCCAAAATTGTTAGTAGGAATTCTAGATGTCACAGTCCCCACACATCTGGAAAATGGGGAACTGGGGAATGCTGATCTAGAGAAGTCTGATAATTAGTTTCTGTCTCTGAAATGAATCATGCCTGGGCCTTGCTATAAGGATATAAGAACTGGAGTAGAATTTCCCCCCCTTCTCTGCAAGATCTTCATCTCTTCACACATACTCAGGTTTATGGTTTTGGGAAAAGACAGGATGAATAAATGATAATCATATAATATGAATAGTATAAAATGCATTAAATAAATAGCATAAATAACTGATTTCAATTTTAAAACATTAGCCTAAATCTGGGCAGTTACAGTATTAGCATGTTTAACAAGTATGCTTAATGTAACTTATAGTTTGACAGAAATGCAGACATGATCATGGATTAAGATCTTTTGCAGGCCAAGAACTTCATTTTTTAGAAGGGGCTCAATATTCCCAAATGTAGTCAGTTTTTTAATGTTTCATGGAAAATATTTCATGAAAATTTTTAAAATATATTTTTGAAGAAATACATGTACTGACATACTGTCACTGATTATTCATAAAGAATATTATTGACACACACATTATTTATGCTCTTTTACCTAAATTACTACTAATTATACAGTTTGATCCTAAGTACATTTCTGCATTAATAGATTCAGTAAGGTCAATGAAATTATCTCTTAAAGTAAATTTAAAGCTGTCACCTACACCTTTTGCCAACAGGCTAAATATTGGAGCTATGCTTCAGGCTGTTATTTTAGGAGAAATTCAATTCTAACTGAAGAAAAATATGGCAATGTAGCCTTTGATTTCCAAAACGCACACATACAGATATTCCCTTCTACTTTTTCCAGTCATTAGCATACAAACTCCAAGGAATCACCAGCAAGAGTTTCATGACTGTACCATCTGATTTCCAGGTTTTCTGTGGTTTCACTGTTTGAGCAGGTGATGCAAAATTATCCAATTCCTAAGCATAAGCTAAAGTTGGAGTTTGACATAAATCATTTCTTCCTTACCCAGTTCTTGAGTGGAAACCATGGCAGCTGCTTCCTGAGATGATACACACTCATTAACGTCTCCGCTGAATGGAATGACAACATTATCTCCCCGTCTCTGTTGCATCATCTCTAATAACTTGTCCAATTCATCACCTGATAGAGAAGTTGCTCATAGTATAAACATTTATCTATCCCATTAAATACTTTGCAAGAAATGGTGCGAGGCCATATAGTACTTTAAATCTGAGGCCCCAGAGCTCCATAAACCTTATGTGGGTCCCCAGATGCCTTCCAAAAGTTATAACCAAACTGTAATGTTTAATGTGATAGTGTGGTAGGAGGGGAAATTATTGAATATATAATTTGGGAGCTAAATTGTAACCTGTTAGCATTTAAGTTACCAAGTTATTAAGAATTAATTAATTTAAATGTGGCTTTTGTCCTGGCCTCATCTGTCTTTTCAAATGTGGACCCAGCATGTTACTCCAAGTCCAGCCCTCATCCTAGAAAAAACTGTGCACTTCTGGTTTCAAAAAAGACCTCCTCCCACCATCATTTTTAATAGCTCCAGTTAAAATACAGATGAAGGACAACCAGGGACATCCAAACTACCATAAGGAAGCTACAGAGGATGATTCATAAATACAGTATGGCAATATGGCATTGTTTTGCAGAGGTCTTGCTTTTCCTGAAAAGGAGGTTCCAAAAATAACGCTGTGGCTCTTCTCTGTCCCATTCCCATTAGTATTCCACATGTCTACATATTTCAATTTCATCTATTTTTTCTAATAACCCCACCAAACTGCTTTGAGAGGTTGTCCAAAAACATGAAGCAAATATCCCAAGACAACTATCACTCAACTTGTTCTCCCTTTTCATCAGATCTAGATGTGGCAATCTCCTTCACCAAATAATGGTTGGGAATTACTCATAAACTGAAAGAGGGTCAATCAAGACATGGCAAAGTTTATAGTAAATAAGAGACTAGCTAGTAGGAAAGTGTTTGGTAGAACAGAAATATTGTTTAGAGTTACTCTAACTCAGGAAAACATGAAACTGAAAGTATGCTGAGATCACCTTCAAAAACCATTCTCAGTGCTCTCATCCATTGCAAGAAGACAGACAGCAATAGGGAAACAGGTCATTTCACTGATGGTGTCAAATTGTGGAAACTGAACAAATCACTTAGTCATTTGAGTCTTGGGGCCACCTATCAAACTTTCATTTTGCTAATGAGGCTGAGCTTCAAAAGTATTTCCCCCAAAAAATGGCACTAATTTATTCTTGCAGCAGAGTTTTATTATTGTGGCTCCTGAAATACACAATTTACCCCTTGGAGAGCTTGCATACATTTTTCTTTGGTTGGTTTCATGACTTAAAGGTATGGATCTGTGGATGTGGAGAAGCCTCAGAGTAGGTTTGCTCAGGTGGATCTTGTCAGCAGTTTAAAGCCAGGTGTTTCAGCTAAAAGACCTGCAACTTTAAGGCAAGATCACCATTTGTGACTCTGAAGTCTTCTCGTTTCACTTAGCCATTGTTGAGGCAAAGTCTGTTTTCCTTACTGTTCTTTTGACACAGCAATGATTGGATGACTTTAGGATCCTCCTGCCAAAGTCAGCCTCAAAGTGGAGACTGTAGACTGAATGCATTGGAGTTTAGAATCCAAAGATGGAAAATAACGGTTGATTACTGCCATTGTTTGAATAAAAAACACAAAGTTTCACCTCTAATTTCTCTCCTGCCCTGGGCAAAGCACAGAAGCTTCTAGCTTGGCAGAGAACAGATACTTAAACAATTAATAACATCTGGAGCAAATGATTCATTTGTATTAACATTAAGAGGAAATAAGTTGATGCCTTTAAGAACAGAGGGAAAAAAAATTATTTTCTGCCTATTATCTCTTTTTCTTTACTTTTACACATATACTCTTCATAAAATTTGAAGCTTCCCTGAACAATTTTATGATGAATCAAAATTACCTTATTTTTTTTTAAATGACAGACTGTGGTAGTCAGCATGAAAGAGCTAATTTTCGAGATGCAATTTTCTGATTTGTGGAAATGGCCCCATCATTAATTCAAAGTGATGGCAGACTGTAAGATTCACTCACCTAAAGATGTGTTTTTGAAATGTGATGCCAGAAAACTAACTTTTCCTGTAATGAGCTCATAACTTATCTCCTTTAAAAACTCACTGGTAGTAAGCATGCTCTCTGCCAGAGCTCTAGACTGATATTGACCTATGGAACAGGGGGGAGAAAAAAGAGGGAAAAAAATCAAGACGTTGCTTATGTGTGTTTCACCTTCCTCTGTTTCTTTTAACACTCTCCAGAAAAAGCCAAGTAACTGTAGCCTTATGTAACGAAGACCTCTGTATATCTTTTATTTATCTAAGCATCATGAAAGTCTGAAGACGTCTGGATATATGAACTTGGATACTTTTTTACCTTTCAATATGTAACAATGCTGTTTTTTAATTACTATTCAGCAAACCTATTAGTAGTTCCAATTCTGAAAGAGAAAACATAGCATTAACAAAAAGGATTTGATATACACTCTGGCTTCAGTCCCAACTTCTCCAGATCTCACCCCACCAGTAAATGCTTTTTGCACTCTATCATTAAAATACAAATTTGGTTTGTAGATTTTTATTTCCCATCATCTCTGGGCCATGTATCTGGTAGAATTAAGTTACAAATGCTATGAGCATTCACACATGATACTAATGTTTAAAATCCTACATACACTCACTTAGAAACAAGTCTTATTTAAATATTACATTTATAGCCCACCTTTTATCTGAGATTTCAAGGAGGCATAAATTAGAAGCCTGCCCCTAATTTTATCTTTACAAGAATATACGTTGAGGTAGGCTGCACATTTAGAGGAGGGGGGGCAGGGGGGATGAGACTATATTATTGGCCCAAGGTCATCCAGTTGGCTCAGTGGTTGAGCAGGACTTGCATCTCCCTGGTCTAAGTCCAACACCTTAACCATACTCTGGTATTTTTCAGTAAACATGAGTTTACTTTTGTTAAACAATTTAACACTCTGTATCTGCAAAACGTTCACAACAGCGATTTAAACATACAAATCTGCTATTTGCTTTCTAACCTGCATTGATAACAATCACAAACACAGAAATGGTACAAAAAAAGATACAACTCTAGCTGCATTTAATGCCATGTGAGAGAGTCTGCATGTTTGTAAAGCAAGTACTGAAAATTGCAGGGGGTAACCGTAGAATATTTTAACACAGACTATTCTGGGAGCAAGTCCTTCCCAATCACACAGATTAGTACAGTATATTTTCACATCAATTCAGCACCAGCTGTCTCTCAAGGTCAGGTTTGCTTGTTATTGCTCATATGGTTAAAAGCAGCTGAGCAAAGGAAGAACGCTGAGATGGGGCAAAGAATTGTGTTTTTAGAGCCACAACCCCAAAGTTTTCCTTATTTTCATGTTTAAAAATGTATAGAATTTAAATCTCTAAAATGGAAATTCCTCTTATATAGCTCTTTGCAGTATGTTTGGTATTGTCAGGAAAGCAGAGGTATTTCCAGAACATCTCAGGATTTTTGTTTATTCAAGAGAACCTGTCAATACTGTCCTCAATAGCCTCATCTACACAACCTTGATTTTATACAGGTTCAAAGACATCTGAGTCTGGCTGCTGCCAGATCTGGAGCACAAGCTGTGCCTCAAGAGAGCTGTTCAGACTAATGACTACTATTTAGTAGACATGTTCTTTTTCTCAGGGGTCATCCTGAACCCAAAGCAAGTTTTCATATAATCCACGATGGCAAGCTAATGAGTAAGCCCTTTCCGAACAGATCAAAGGCCTCTGAGTGGATCAAGATCTAACCCTTTCTAACAGCCTTCTCTGCCTTGTATGTATCCATAATGAAAATCCAGATATTTTCTTTTCCATACATTTTCACTTTTGGGACAGTACTTAAAATCAGTGAAGTAGCTGGGGTTGTGAGAAATAATGTGTTTCTCAGACCATTTGTAGTGGATGATTATTACAATGATGTCACACTTGCCACTCTTTGGTTTAGGTCAGTGTTATCCAAACTGGGGATATGGCTGGGAAACATGGCTGGCTGGGGAATTCTGGGAGTTGAATTAAAGTGGCCATCTTAAAGTGGCCAAGTTTGGACAACACTGGCTTAGGTGGTCCAAGAATTATAAAAAGAACTGAAGTTGGTGATTACATTGCACAGGTCAGAGTGAAATCTAATTTCTTCCATGTCATACATGAGATAATTCTGCCAGAGAGGTAACATCCAGTATATTAGTTTAACATTAACATGAAACCTTGCTCATTTTTTTTTTTTAATTTAGTGTTGACACGGAAAGTCTCTGTTTCTCACCAGAGAAATCTGGCGCACATTGTTGCAGGAGGGAGGCCACTTCAACCACCACTACTGATTACCATTCTGGGTGTAAAATCAGATGAGGGCATTGAAGGGCAGAAGCATATTTTGACACTTAACAGGCAGACATCTTCCTTGCAAATGCAAGAGGGGTTATTCAATGCTACCATTCAATGCAGCAGGTTTCCTTTTCACAGTCACAGTTGTGTTTTCTGTCCAATTCACCCTGTCACACTGGACTGGGGTGGGCAGATGGAGGAAGTACTGACCCAGTGTCTGGAGGCAGTACAGGCTTGGATGGGAAGATACAAAGTAACACAGAATACCTGCAAGACAGAGTTGTTGTTTTTCCACAGACCACTGGGAACTTTGCTCTAGCACTAACTCAGGGTGGGGAGGCACGTGCTCTGAGTGAGTTTATATGGGATCTGGAAGTTTCCCTAGACTCATGGCCACCTGCTTTGTCTGAGGCACCCGTTGTAGCCAATCCTGGAAGATGATGCTCTGGCAACAGTTGCTCATTACCTTATGGATCAACTATTGCAATCTGCTTTACATGGTGTTGCTTTTGAAGACAACTCTGAAGGTGTAATTGATACAAATTGAAAGCTTCCATTGTTTCATAAAACATGCTATAGGTCATACATTGAATTATACCTGGAAGCCTATTGGCAATCAAAGTTCTGTTTTAACTTAAAAATCATATTACTTCATGCCCAGATATCTGAAGGGCTGCTTATTTCAGGCAGAACTGACCCAGCTAGGTTAGAAGAATCCTTCCACACACATATATGAGATCTGGGAGACTAAACACACTGCTTTTTGTGCTCTTCCCCCTTTTATCAAATATCTTGTTTCTGGAGATCCAAATGGCGTGCCACCTTACTACATTTCTAAGATAGTCAAGACTAACTTCTCTAGAAGGCTTTTGATGGTAAAAAGTTGATAGTATCACTCACATGGATATAGGATATCTTGTGTTCCATTGTGAGTATTTTAATGTTGTCTTTTTACTGATTTTTGTGTAGGAGCTGGTAACTTAAAAATATACTAAGTAAACAAGCAAGCAAGCAGATAAGTAAATAAATGAATAATCAATTCTTCAAGTCACAAACACTTTCAAGGAATACAGCTCTTTTCTAGAATTCATTTTGGGAATGACTTTATTGCATATATCCCCAAAATGAATTCTAGACTGTTTTATAGTCAAGAAAAGAAATAGGACTTTTTAAAAATAAGAGGCATATATGTCTATTTCTTGTTGAAGGCATAACCTGCAATCTTAAATATACTGGTGTGATAAGAAACTGTTAAGCTTCATGCATTTAAAAGATACACATACCTACCCCAGATACTACATGCAAATACATACACCTAGATGTTTCAATTGTGTTTGGTTCAGTAATAGGCTCCCACTTCCACACGCACCCTCATTCCACCCCATAAAGATGTACTATAATTGCCAAACCAGCTTTTAAATTAGTCACTGAGGATTGATTTGGCAACTTGAGAAAGAACAGGGTTGAACTGGAAATAGAAAGCAAAAACATGAGGCACTTATGTACAATGTTGGAAGTTGTGGTTAAGATGAAAGCCTAAGAAAGAAGAAGGTCTATGGAGAGAGCTATGTAACTATTTGAAGAAATCCATTTGTTGGAACATACTGGTTGCTCTCTCATTGGCAGTGTGGGATCAAAACGCAGGACACAAATGCAGAATAATAAAGGCTTCACTGCAGTGTTTATTGAGCAGTACGTACTGGAGGGGGACCCCACCAGAAGTTAGTGGGAGGCACTCCCCTGCAGGCAAAGTGGATGCTCTGATATTTGTGCAGGTCTACAAGGAGGGCAAGGGAAAAAGAAGGTATACACATACATGTTCATATGGTGACGCAGGCCTACCTAAATAAGCAATAGTTCTCAAGTTACTCTCTGCCCCTCTGTTATCTGCTAACTGCTAATAAAACAATAGTGTCACAGAGAAGGAGACACAAATTAGTTCAAGGTGCCAAATGCCAGGAAGAAGGCATCCTCCCTCAGGACAGATGCCCAGGTTGCTATGGAAATGTTTTTGATAAGGAGTTTACAACCGGCCTGGTTCACATCAGCTTCAAGGATGCTTCCACATGCCTT